CAACTTTTTAACCTTGAGTCTCCTGAAAGGGTATAAAAAATTAATCAAGTGCATTATAAAAAAAAACTTAACATTTATGTATGCATGTTGGTTGCAAATGATTGAAAAAGTCAATAAAAGACTTTTCATTTTGACCTTTTTACTAAATTCTGGCCCACTGCGCATTTACAAATTAGATTTGAAAATATATATGATTTTGCTGTTAAAATATCTTTAGTTAAAATATTCTAAAGTGGAATACTTGATTTTAAAAGAAAGTATGCCTTAAAAATATTTTTTTATTTCTCTATCATATTCTACAGCTTTTTTTTTAAATACCTCAAGATGCTTTTTAAGTATTTCAAGAATAATGAAATTAAAGATTAATTCTTAGCAGAGACTTGAAAGTTTTTCCATAATTTTTTTTTAATAAAAAGATTGCCAAAACCTAAATTCGATGTAACTGCATTCCTCACATAATCTACCTATTTGTCAGATGGATGTAGCAACACTCCTCACATGTTTTATCTATTTGTCAGTCAATGTATGCACACTCCTTGTATGTTCTACCTTTTTGAGTTTATGTATGTACACTATAAATAAATTAAAAATTAAAAAAAAAATTAATTAAAAATAAAAACAGAATAAAATTTAAAAAAATTAAAATTAAAAACAAAAAAGATCAGAATAATGCTTTGTTAAATAAAAAAGTAATCCTAAATGAAAAAAAATTCTGATCTTTTTTGTTTTTAATTTTAATTTCTGTAGTTTTTTCATTGGAGCAAATGAACCAGCTAGCCATTTCTACAGCTGAACTGAAATATCTAGTTCTGAATCTGAAAACAGTACAGTAGAGGATGTTGAAGAGACTGAAACTAGTGACAATGCAGATGAGGGAGCTGTTGGAGGCACCACTTTTCAGACACCTAAAAGAAAGAGGAGACGAAAAACTGTTGTTACTCCAGAACTCGCTGCAGCTCTAGATCGAACAAAAATGTCAGACCGCAAGGCTGTTTTTGTTATAGCAGAAACTGCCAAAAGCTTAGGACAGAATATCAATGAATTTGCTCTTAACAGAGACTCAATTCGCCGACACAGATTGGAACACAGAGTCCAGAGATCTGCAAATATAAAAGCCGAATTTCGGGATAATGTTCCTCTTGTTGTTCACTGGGACCGCAAACTGATTCCTGATCTACTTGGATAAGAGAAAGTTGATGGCCTGCCCGTATTGGTTTGAGGAAAAGGAGTCTCTCAGCTACTCACAGTTGCCAAGCTTCCTTCTGGAACAGGCGAGGCACAGGCTGCTGCCGTCTTTGGAGCCATTGAAAACTGGGGCATAGCCGACAGCATCCATGCAATGTGTTTTGACACCACCAGCTCAAATACTGGTCGGCTTGCTGGTGCCTGTGTCCTCCTAGAACAGAAACCTGAGAAAGAGCTCTTATCATTGGCTTGTAAGCATCACATTATGGAACTGATTATTGGTGCAGTGTTCCAAGTGTGTATGGGAGCAACATCTTGTCCAGAAGTTCCACTATTCAAACGTTTCCAGCAATACTGGGGTTTCATAGACACGGCTAATTATGAGCCAGGGATTGCAACTGATGATGTCGAACGTCTCGTGGCTGACATAAAGCAAGACACTATCGATTATGCCAACAAGCATCTTGAACAGAGTCAGTTGAGGGATGATTATAAAGAATTCTTGGAATTTGTGATTATTCTTCTTGGTGCTGCTCCTGCCAGAGGTGTGCGATTCATGTCACCTGGAGCAATGCACCATGCCCGCTGGATGTCCAAAGTCATATACAGTCTCAAGATCTAGATGTTTAAGGCTCAATTTAAATTGACTCTGGCTGAAGTGAGAGGATTACGTGACGTGTGTGTATTCACAGTACGTGTCTACCTGAAAGCCTGGATATCTGCACCTCAAGCATCAGGTGCTCCTTATAATGATCTGCTGCTGCTGAAGTCACTGATTGAATATTCATCAATCCATTCAGCGATCTCGAAGTGAACATCACGCAAGTTCTCCAATCACTTGTGGTATTTGTCACAGGAACTTGTTAGCTTGGCTTTCTTTGACAGTCAGGTCAGTTCATCAACCAAGAGACTGATGGTGAGTGCAATGCAAAATGAAGAAGACCAAGATCAGGATCATTCGAAGCGTATCACTGTTGATCTTGATTCATTCGGGAACAAGAACTTAGAAGATTTTGTCACAGCAAAGTCAATGAATCTGCTCCGAATGATGGAAATGCCATATGGATTTCTAACAGTTGATCCGGACTTGTGGGAAGACAGAGATGACTACAAGTTGGCTGCAGAAACAGTCAAGTCTTTAAAAGTTGTAAATGACCACGCTGAATGTGGAGTGGCCCTCATTCAAGAATACAGTGGATTTTTAACACGCGATGAAATGCAGCTGCAATTCCTGCTGCAAGTCGTAGAAGACCATCACAGAATGTACCCTGATAGCAGGAAACAAACTCTGTCTGGGCTGCCGAAACCATGAATTTAAAACAATAATTCCTGAGTTTGCTCTGGACATTGTCAGGCTGATACCCTAAACTGTAAAAACTGAGCTTAGAACTCATATTTAATGTGTTTAAAAATGTTAATTGTGTTGTTTAAAATATATAGATTAGACTCGTTTCTCGTATAATTTTTGTAATATTGGAGGCACTTGAGCTACCCCTAAAAACAATTATTTCTTAGCCAAACTTTTTATGCAGTGTTTCTATGTTATATGGAACAGATATATATATACATACATATATACATACATATATACATATAGAGATATACATGCAGTATTTTAATGTAGTAAATGTTTATTTTAAGACTATTTTAATGAAGCAGTTAACAGTTTTAAAAACCGCACACCATTGTGAAAAAAGTTTAAATTACAAATTCATAAATGATGCTCATTATTTCCAAATATAATTAACTGAAAGAAAATAAAGTTTTACTTTTCATAAAACTAACTTTTATTTCTTTGGTAATTTTGATTTTAAAATGTTCAGCAACATAAGGAAACTTTTGTATTGTTTTAATACGACATAAATAAATGAAATGTAAAAAAATTTAAAATAAATTTATCTTTTAAAAGCAAAATAATTTAGCAAGCATATGAATTTTTATTTAGACAAAGTAATTTTAATATGTTAAATTTGTTCAGGCATTGGAAAATCAGCAACAACCAGCAATAAAATATTACTTTTAAAAACGTTTAAACTTTTAACGAACTTAGCTTGACTCTTAAAAACTTAGTTGGATTTCTAATGATTGATTTTATCACTTGACAAACGCAGCCTTTATTAAAAGCATGTCATATTATGAATAAAATAAACACTTGACTTAAAAACCAACTACAAAAATTTCTATAGCACGCCTAAAATTAGCAAGCCAATATACAAAATATATTTCTCATATTTAACTGTGTAATGCTAAGGTTTAACCTGATTGATTTTAAATTTTAGCGGGACTATTATTATATATTGTTCAATAAGCAAAATTTACTTTTTCCACAGGAATTATTGTTTAAACCTATAAGGCTTTTATTTCACCTTTTTTTTTTTTATAGAAATCAAATTAACTGTAAATATTAAAAATATATACAAAGCCTGCATTAAAGTTGTTTAAATTACGCAAGTGTTAATAACACAAGTGTATATTAATTATTTTGTAAAAAAAATAATTAAAAAAGTAATTTTAAATAAAATTGCTGGTAAAAAAATTAACAATTGCTCTTTTTTTTTTTCTAACAATATTTAAGTATTTTTTTCTAACCATATTTAAAGCTTTTATTTTATTACTCGCTGACTTATTAAAAATAAAAAATAAAAATTTCTTCATTTAGGTAGTTAAGGCGATTTTTAATAATTATAGAGTCTGTATAATATTTTGCTGACTACAACATATTTCTGTTAAATGATCAGGTCTGTGAATCATGAAAAAAAAAAAAAATTAAATAATTAAAACAATAAATTTTGCCGTAACATAAAATAAAAATGTTTGTAGCAAGACCGAAGATTCCTTTTTTTTTAAAAAAAAATCTTCTTAAAATTATGATCCCTTGTTCAAATTTGAATAATATTTAAAAAAAAAAAATGCTTTTTAGGTGAAATGAACATCAGTTTAATAATATGATCTGTTCTTATTGTTTATTGGCAATTTTTCTAAATTAAAAGCACTTTTTTTTTGTCAGAGTTCTAATATATTTTGTGAAAATTAATAGAGATGATGTGTTTTGACAATTATATTAAATTAATGTGCTGGAACCGATTAAGGCACTTTTTCAAACATTTTCAACTGAAATTAAGTTACTCAAAAATGGTGTTCTCTAGATTAAATTAGGGTTAATAAAAAAGTTTTGAAAATTATATAAAAAAGATAAAAGTTACTATAAACATATAAACTTTATGCAATAAAAATTGTAGCATCTAAAGCTCTTGTTTGGACATAATACACTGACAAAATCATGCCAACTCCAAATAAAAGAATTCAAATACTTATAAATTGCCTTAACTACATCAAGTATAGACAAAACATGTTTGGTCAAATGTTGAAAGAATAAACAAATATTTTTATATTTTCAAAAACTAGAATCAATGAAATTATTCAATAAAATTATTACATAATACATTTCTACACTTTGAATTAATTATTCAATAAAACTAGTTGGCAGTGATTAAGTAAATTTTGGTAGCTCAAAAAAGTTAATGCTATTATATACATAAAGCAAATAAAAAGAATTTTTTGATGTCAAAAACTTATCACAAGGCCTGAGTTTCAAACAAAATTTTTAAAAAAAAATGAAATAAGAAGTCTTTTCAAATGTAGTGTCCTTCTCTGTTTCAAATGTAGTGTCCTTCTCTGTTTCAAATGTAGTGTCCTTCTCTGTTTCAAATGTAGTGTCCTTCTCTGGAACTTTAAGAACATGAATTCAACAAAAAAATATGTACATAAACCCATTTTTTAGATATCTAAGATTCTAATTTAAAACAAAAACATACTTTATAATTTTTTATTATCTTTTCATAAGGAGGTGATTTTCTTAAATAACCTTTATGTAATAATTCTCGCTGCTCCATTATTTGATCTTCATTTTTTGCATCTAAATAATAAAGTTTAATCCTTAAAAGTCTTTGTTATGCAAATTTAAAAAAACATTTTATTAAAATGAATAAAATTATTTTTGTGGCAATTATTGTTAATGTTAAAATAATCACATTTCTGCTACAAATAAAATAGAAACTTCTACTATAAAAACAAAAAAATCAAATTTTGGCTAGATATCAGAGAATAATCAGAGAATATTAGAATTGCTATTAAGAGAGTAGCAATATACATATATATATATATATATATATATATATATATATATATATATATATATATATATATATATATATATATATATATATATATATATATATATATATATATATATATATATATATATATATATATATATATATATATATATATATATATATATATATATATATATATATATATATATATATATATATATATATATATATATATATATAGATTACATGCAAATAATATATAGAATTGCAAAAAAAAAAAAAAAAAAAAAAAAAACGTATTCTTTTCTGTAGGTAATACATACACTGAATTTAATACATTTTAAGGTACTTTTATAAAACTATGCCAAATAGCTTAAAAAAATCATGTTGATTTATGCAAATATGCAATGTCTGTACAATAATAAAAAAGTATTATATGTAATTGAAATTTTTTTTTATTTATACTTTTTAAAATCTTTATTCATTCTATTGAGTAATACATTTTTTACTTTTAAAAATTATATAAATTAAAAAAATTTTTAAAGAAAATAATTTATTTCTACATTACAAATAAACAAAAAAAGTTAACTCTCTGTTACTTATAATGTTACTCTATTTTATACAAAAAATGTTTTTTTTTTCGTGATTATATGTACTGGGGCCAAAGCTATAAATAAATTCTGTATAGAGCCAAGCCAGGACCGTTGCCCCAATCATTTATTTCCTAGTTAGTTTTAAACTTATAAAATTTAACAAAACTTTGTACATGGGGTAGTGGTGTAGCGGTTAAGTGCTCGCTTCCTAAACTAGAAGTTTGAAGTTTATTCCCCACCACATCCCTGGTAGTACTGCATTTACTTGTCTCTCAGCGCAGCAGCCATCATCAATTCTATTGTTTCATTGTTAAAAGGTTGAGAGAGTTTTGAGAATTTGTTTTGAAAACAGTTCAGCAATTTCAAAGTTTCTAAGTAAAATTATAACTTTCTTGGATAAATATATAATTTAAATAAAATATATATTTATTTAAATTGTATATGTATATATATATATAAATATATATATATATATATATATATATATATAAATATATATATATATATATATATATATATATATATATATATATATATATATATATATATATATATATATATATATATATATATATATTCATTGTAAACTTTAAAAACTACAAAGCTTAAGAGCCACTGCAAATGTTTTTAATAATATTTTTCAACCTTATTGCTAATTCTAAACAACATGTCAATCAGTGCGCAGGGGGCAGTCAACTGTCCACACCACAAGAAAGTTGCAAATACACATTTTTTAAAGTAAAATTTTTTTAGATTTGTTTTTAATTGAATGGTATCATTATTGGAATGATAAACATTAGGGTTTCTCAAACGGGATCCTGTTTTCCCAGGATCCCGGAGGTAAAAAACCATCCTATTATCCTAGGATTTCAATGAAATTTCTGGGGAATCCTGGTAATTTTTTTAAACATATTTTTACTCAAATTTTGAGTAATAACATTTTTAATTTCTTTACATTTGTAAAGATATTAAAAATATTATTACTCAAAACTTGAGTAATAGTTACTTCCTTTTCCCTTTTATAATGAATTTCTATAAAAATTAGGAAGATATCTTATAGAGCAATTAAATTACCAATATTTTGCAGTTTTGGTTTGTGTCTAAGATAGATAAAATATTATTATTGAATTTGATTTATAAATAGATTTGATTTATTTTTATGTTGTAACTTACAGCATATAAAGCTTGAATAAACAAATCGAATCAATATAAAATAACCACGGACAAATTACAAGTACTTTTACCTGCAAAAAAAACAATTAGTTACGCATAAAAGTTAATAGTTAGAAAGTAAAGTAGTTAGTTACGTTAAGAAAGTAGTTTGTATGTAAAAAGTAAATAAGTGAAAATCAAGTAAGTGAAGTTTAAAATATATGTTTAGTAATTACAGCTAATTTTAAATAATTTAAGTAAATCTACTATCAGCACACTATTTCGGGATTTAATTGTAGGTAATATAGTTTAATATTTATATTTTAATCAATTTAATTAATAGGATAACAAATATAGCGTATCATGTCAAGTGGATCCAAGGCATGGGAAAATTTTACAAAAAAACAAAACACAGAATCTGCCACTTGTAATATATGTAAAACAACAATAATGTACAAAGGATTTTCAACTAGTGGTCTTCTTCGTAACTGACATTGCGTCAGTTATGAAAAAATATGGAAAATTAAGCAAGATGAAACATCAACTTTGTTATGCATATGGGCTTTATTTAGCAGTTTTTGATGTTCTCTACAAAAAATAAGTGATTTATAAATCATAGGGCAGTGAGTGTAATGCATCAAACAGTCAGAATTCTGATGAAAATAATAGTGAAAACGATGAATCTGAAGAAATTAATTTTACAACTTCAGAGGAATTACAGTCAAGCCAAAACAACGATTTATTAAATTTACGAGATATTGAGACCATTGACGAATTATTAGGCTGCATAAGTATAGCACAAACAATTCAAAAGATCCGGAGAATTGTATGAAAGTTTCGTAAATCACCACTCAAAAATGAAATTTTACAAAAATACCTAAAAATTACATACAATAAAGATCTCAAGTTAATACTGAATGTAAAAACAAGGTGGAATAGCCTTGTTGCAATGTTAGAGCAATTTATTGCATTGAAAACATCAATATTAAAAGCATTAATAGATTTTAAAGACTTTACTTAATGCAGAGGGTGTATTAGTGTTTATATTTGATGTTTTGCGCAAAAATAAAGATCATTTTTTGGTTAAAATGCTGCAATATGTGCAACAGAGAATTGTTGAAAGACAGAATAAAAATTAAGTTGGCTTGCTAAAATATTTATATAATCCATCAAATTATAAACACAAATCGAACATAGATTCTGTATTATTGTTGCCTTCTGAATCAGTCCTTCAAGCTACGGCTACAAAATTATTTTCTAAGCTTTTTGTTGAGGATATTGATGGTGGTGGAAATTAAGCTGAAATTGAAGAATTAGAACGCAGTAATGACAGGACTGAAATGTTGATTATGGCCAAACCAAATTTAAAGAAAAGATCTGAATCAACACTTCATCAAAAATTGGAAGCTACCATTACAAACGTTAGTCCGATTGAGAGTCCAGAAGATGTCATATGATGTTAAAAATATTACTAAAGAAATGGATATTTTTGATGCAACAAAAAAGCGTACAAACAATTTAGACAAATTATATAATGCTCTATTAACTACCCCACCGACTTCAATCTATTCAGAAAGAGCTTTTTCTGTGGCAGGTCTTTTTATTACGAAAATATGGTCATTGTTAAGTGATAGCGCTATTGACAATTTATGTTTTTTAAAAAATTATTTTCAAAGTTAATATATATAAAATATGTTATTAAAGTTTATATTTTTTTTATTTTGAGAGTCTTAGTTTCTAAGAATTATTTTGTCTTTATTTTCTTATTAAAATTAATAGTATTTAAACCCCTTTTTTTGTATTTGTTTGAACTTACACCACCACCACCCCTAAACTAGTTTGATAAATTCTTGCTTGTTACCTAATCCCAGGATTTCCCGGGATCCCAGGAAATTATTCATTTTTGTCCCGGAATACCAGGAATTAGATTTTTACAGGAAATGAGAAGCCCTAATAAACATTACAGAATTTTTTTTTTAGTTGCAGTTTTGACTGAAACGCTTAACTTTATTGCAATAGTAGCATAAGATAAATTTATTGTCTCATTTTAGTTATTGTCACATATATCAGATATATACACATATAATAACATGTTTTTGTCTCATTTCAAAAAATCCTGGATTGCTCAAGATAGTGCCTAAAAACATAATTTAACACGCCTTCATAAATATCAATCTTTAACTTTATCAAGATCAAGCAAAGTTAACTCTTTACTTTAACTCTCAAACAACCCAATATAATAAAGTTCTCATAGCTTTTTAGCATAACATTTGTACTAACAATTGCTCATTTTGAATATCATCCAGTTATATTCTTCCATTAAAGTGAACATTTAAAGAAATATTTAATGAATCAAATGTAGCCTTTTTGCTTGAAGCAATTTGTCTTAATTATGCTGCAAAGATTGTATTGTAACTGATACAGAATCTCAAATTACACAAAGACCACATAGGTAAAACCTCAGATGCCTACTTTTTGAAAATTTCAAGTTTAAGATATTTTTATGATATTCTAGTACTAAGTTATTTTACTAATATATATATATATATATATATATATATATATATATATATATATATATATATATATATATATATATATATATATATATATATATACATATATATATATATATATATATATATATATATATACATATATATATACATATATATATATATATATATATATATATATATATATATATATACATATATATATATATATATATATATATATATATATATATATATATATATATATATATATACACATATATATATATACATATATATATATATATACATATATATATATATACATATATATATATATATATATATATATATATATATATACATATATATATATTTATTTATTTATTTGTATATATATAAACATATATACATATATATATATATATATATTATATATATATATAAATATATGTATTTATATATATGTGTATCTATATATGTATATATATTAAAGTGGGTTTTTTTTTCTTATTACAGGCTCTTAACATTGCTAATAGTTATTAATATTGATACTATCAA